AGTTAAAAAAAAGTCTTTTAGTTAAAAAAAAATGTGTAAAGTATCAGCCTATACATGTCCCACGGCTGGGCAAAGGCCACTTCTGAAAAAAAACATTTAGCCTTTAATTAAAAAAAAATGTGTCAAATTATTACAAATCAAGGGTCTTTAGCGATGATAATTATTACATCAATTTCCCAAATTATCTCATTAAATAACCTTCGAGGGAAGAGAGTAAACTTGAAATAGTCTTAGAGAAACACTGATTATACTAAAATACTTTTAGTTGATATGAATCCATCGCAGATACAGGTGGCACTTTAAATTACAAATACAGAAAATTCATGTTATTGCTGATGTGAATAATTATAAATATGTTTCTCTAATAAAATGGAAAACAACTTTTCCCTCAATTATTATGTTACGAATATTCATGAAGTAACTTCATAACACGTCTTCAAATGTTGATACCGTACACGATTTTCTATTTCGAATTGCCACATTATTTACAAAATTTCAATGCATTTACGAAGAGTCCAAATTGAGATATTTTTCGTAAATAAAAGGTACCGCACTATGTACGGACATTCCATTATTTTCAGAGGCAGTTAATAGGGCAGTGATAGAGAGCGGGTCGTGTTCACACATTCTAAAATCACAGATTGACCGCCACGATAGAGTGTTGGTAATTTTTAGCTCAACAATGGTGCGCACAACAACCGCTTTATTAAACGAAAACACCATTAATTATGTTTATTTTTATTGAGGCAAAGTTAAAAATGCTTGAAGTTTAATATACTAAGTTCTCCTCGAAATAACCATAAAACTTGAGAAATTTTTTGTACTGAATTTCAAATTTGATAGTGTTTTCTTATTTTAACGAAGGGAATCGACGTTTTAAAGTTACGAAAGACATTATTGCATATAAATCTTTTATTTGTTTTTATTTTTTAAACTTTTAAAAAATCATTGCCCTTACTTTAGGATAACATTATCCTGTGCTGTAAGGACGTTTTACAAACATAAACTTCACGCGGACAAATGCACAGACGCGAAACAACTATCCGTGGGTGACACAAATAGTTTCCCTGTGTGGGAATCGAACCCGCAACCCTCGACGCCGAAGCCAATACGCTTGGCAACTACGCCACGGAGTCATGATTATTTTGGATCCGGGTATTTGACCACGTGAAATTTATTTATGTAAAACGTCCTCACACATAGTAATGTCATGGGCAATGTTTCATGCTTAAAAATTTAAGCTATTATTATGAATTATTTAAAACTGTTTTATGAATTTCATCGAGTTTAATTTATTTTTTTGATTCTTGTCGATTCGTTTCCTTGGCCGCTTCAATATATTATATTAATATTAATTAAATATTTTACATTTACCAATCCTTTGTAATTAAGTAAATGTGAAATCATTAGTCCAACACAATTTTAAAATTTAGAATTGGGCTTAGTTTAATTTAGATAAATCCATCTAGTAACAAGTAAAGATGGCTGCAGAAATCAAAACAAGCTTTACGCAGAAGGGAATGTTAAAAACAGCAATTGCTTTTACGCTTAAACGAATTTTTTATTTCAATCTTATACCACTGGTTGATGTTTTATGTATTAATATTGTGTTAATAATAAATAAACTCTATTGATGTAAAACCAGATTGAAAGGTATTATTGCTATTTATTGTTTTCAAAAATCATAAAAGCTAATCTTAAAAATAATAAGAATACAAGTAAGAAAAAATCGCTTATATATTGGTCCGAGTTACCAAGGTTTATAAGTATTATTTATCTAGTGTCTAAAGTTGTCATGTCGACATTTTCTACAACCTAACAACAGGTTATTTCCACTTTTCTTATAAAAGTACATTATATCAATAAGTTTACTCTATTTTTCTTAAAACTAAATTAAAGCAGTATTGGTAATACTGCAGTAACGATAAAAAATATTCGTCAGATAAATTTTAATATGGAAAATGGGGGTAAATAATCAGATTCACCCGATTTTAAATGAATTCCACCACTCTCGAACATGCAGAGTACTCGTGGGGAAGAAACTGCGTTTTAGACCCTTAAGAGTGCCGCTCCCGGTTACCTCACTCACCAGAAGAAGTGGAAAAGTGTGTGTATTCTACACTTGACGACCATGTTTTGTGAGATTCTTCTTATTGCTTGACCGGACAAGTCCGTTTATTCAGTAGCTGCATCGAGAGATCACCGTGGCACACTAATCACAGAAAAAAATTGCGAATGTTTTCTATCATCATTATCATCTATTCAGCCTGTTTGAGTCCACTGCTGAACATAGGCCTTCCCCGCGGACTGCCATGAAGCACGATCTCCAGCCACCAGCATCCATCGACTTCTGCACACTTGTACAAGTCATCACTCTATCTACGGGGAGTCGACCTATCATCTCTACAGTGTGTGATAAAACTTTTTTTTCTTCAAGATATTCAAGCTTTAAATTGTGACGGGCCTCACCAAGTCGGCCGACTCAATAGATTATTGCAAAATACTAAAACAAACTCGGTGGAGCACATTATTGAAACTTGAAGAAAAACTTGTGAAATCACATTGGAATCGAAACACATGACTTGCCACCACTAGATATCGTCGGAATAATAATTAAAACTATAATTACAATTACGCATTCCCATTAAATACGGTTTACAGATTAAAATTCTAAACATATTTTGTACACCGTCCTCTTTAAGACATACAGACATTAAGGAAGTTCAAATTTGGATATACCGCAATTGGCTTTTTGATTTTACGTGCGTTCCTGTTCTCCAATTATTTGTAGCTGTCAGATGCATATTATAATCCAGAATGCCTATATCACCTTCTTGACCGCAAATTTCCTGCTGCTTCCGTTTTGATTGCAGGATTCATGCTTCGCTCAACGCACCTGCCTGCCCACTCCGTCTTGTGGCTTTATACAAAAAAACATTATGCATTACATATTGTATATTATAAAATACCACGCGCAGAAGTTGACTCCTACCATTTAATGATAAATAATACTAATTTTTTTAAAGAAATAGTAATTGAGCCTTTTCAACCGTATTCAAAAAAGGGGTAGTTCTCAATTCGCCTGTAATTTTTATGCTTATTACCTTGGAACTGCATTCTTGAAACGATTTTAAAAGTTATTTTTGTATTGGGTTCCGTTTAGCTCCAATGTGGTCCCATATTAATTTCATTCATATTGGACTTACATCAGAGAAGTCTTTAAAATGGAAAATGTTTAGCATTTGAAAAGCACTTTTTTCATGCTTTATTTGTGTTAATAACAATGTAGCTTGTTTACAGCGCAGTAAACTATGACTTCTTTTACTTCTTTAGCTCTGATTTTTGATTTTTTTTTATGTGAAAAGTTGCCAAACGAGCAGACTGTTCAGCTGATGTTAATTGAATACCGCCGCCCATGGACATCTGCTACACCCGAGGGTTGCAGATGCTTTTGAAAATTGGGCTCCGGCCACCTCACTCACCAGACGAAACGCGAAAGCATTATACTTCCACTTTATGCCGGTCTTCTGTGAGGTGGTGGTACTTACCCGGAATATATCGAATGTTCAAATTTTTTATTTATATACAAATGGAACAACACCTATTTTGATCGACTTGCACTGACGATTCGATATAATAATGAATTAATTCATTATACTCCATTTAATTTGAAATCAGTATGCTATAAACTCATTGAAAAGTTTATTGCAATTTTAGACGTGCAGAAGCGAAAATTTGCATTTATATCCAACATTAAACGTGTTCCAAAGTCATAAAGAAACTACATATCGCAGTGCAGTCGTCGAGACTTACAAGTTTCCGACGCGTTCCTCGGTTGGAGCGAAAATTTCCATTTCCCCAAACAAAAGGCGCTGGGACGTGGACACATGAAATGGTCGTTTCTATTTTCTTTTTCCATCGCAATTCACAACGCCGCGACGAATCCCGCCTTCCGGCGCGGGACGTGTTTGTGTGCTAGTGCGAAATTGTATTATTATATCATAGACATCACGTTTCGAATTATTATTCAATATAACGATTCCACCTTTTACTGTGGTAGGGCCACGCAACAGTGTTCGCTGTTGCCCGAATGCACAGGTCCGTCCGGGTTAGTACTACGACCACGCAGAGGTCGACCACCGATGTGAAGTAGAAGTGTTATACTTCTTCGTTTGAAAATTTCCATAGGCGGTTATCACTTACAATCTGCGGAAACGCCAGCTCGTTTGTCCTATAACCTTCTCATAAAAAATCTATGGAGCTGTATTAAACTTTTCATTCATTAAATTTATCATGCATATCTGATCCACGATGGGAAGATATGTTTTAGAGTGGCAACCTCGTGGTAGTGTGAGTGGACATTGCAGCGTGGAACGACCCCCCACTAGATGAAGTGATGACCTGTTCAAATGCGCAGGAAATCGATGGATGCAGGTGGCTAAGGATCGTCCTTCGTGACAGTCTATGGGGTAGGCCTATGTTCAGCAGTCGACTCAAACAGGCTGAAATTATGATGATATTGATTCGGATTTGAGAGGGCGGAAAAACACGGAGCTTTTACCGGTTCGAGACGTTTTCGTAATAATTTTCAAAACTTTCATCAAGTAATACGTAATACTCTTGCGACAGGGCGGTATTTAGAAACGTCTTACGCATTGCAGCCAACGTGCGATGTCACACTCGGTCACACACAATTCCATTGGATCCGCGAATTGTGATCGCTTGACGCGCGACACGCTCCACCTCGTTCTGTCGCAATGGACGTCTGAACGTAACAAATGTCTCCGTCCTTTTTTCACCTTTATTACCTCGATGTTTAGGTGCACTTTGCTTTGTCGCCAAAGGGCACTCGGCAATCTGTTTCAGCGGTACTTTTTTGAATTAATTCCCCGGTGTTTTTTTCTGGTCAACGACAATTTGCGTTTTCCTAGAAGTAGACGTGACCGGTTTAATGACTTCTAATCTCTCCGTTTTGTTGGGTTACTTGTTATACCGAATTACTTGTTGAGAACACCGTTCTGAATGGAACGGGGGGTTACAGTTTAATCGTTTAATTAATCGACACAGCTTAAATGAAATGATGATTGATGTGGAAAGGTCTTTGGGGAAATGTTATTATAATTAGTCCCATAATTATGCTTTATTTTATTCCTAACATAGCTATAGGTAGTAAGTGTAGGTTTAAATTTTATCTCATTTAAGTTTCTTATGTACTTTTTGGTAAGTATAGTAGTGGTTTGTGTCAAATAAATATTATCTCTCTTTTCATTTATATGTTCTTAATTTCATTTATTATCTTTTCCTCTTTCATAGATCTCACGTTTGCCAAGCGGGCACGGTGAACGACTCTAATAAATTTTTCATCGTCATAATCATCATTTCTGTCTGTTTTAGTTTTACTGCTGAACATAAGCCTCCCGCTTATGTTCAGCAGTAAGCAGCCAAAGCATGCCGCGTAGCACGATCCTGAGCCACCTGCATCAATCGATTTCCCGCACACTTGCACAGGTTGGCACTCTATCTAGTGGGGTTCATCCTCCACTACTGAGGCTGCCTCTCGAGAATCCTTCTAGAGCCTCGTAATTAATATTAAATAAAACAAAAAAAAATAACTACACCTCTATTAAAAATAGAGTTATAGTTAGTGAAAAATCACGGTCACCATACAGAAGTAGTATACCCTATGTGTAATAAAGCTCAAAGTTGACATCATAGACATAAATAAACATATGTTCGATAAACAGTAGCCTCCTTCGACAGTTGGTAAAAGTATACTTAATGTAATATAGTAAACTAAACTTAATGGCTGACTCTGTCTACGTCATTGCTCTCTAAATACACACATAGGAGGATTAGAGAGAGGGCTGATATATAACAATGATACTTATAGGTACCCCTCGGTGAAAAGCGGATTAAGCCAGTCTACCTTCCCCAATGTAGGATCTTGAGGTCTCAGCCAATTATTGAAACAAAGCTGTTACGTAAAAATTGAAAGATGAAAAGAGAATTCCATAGCGTGGTAGCATTTATTCTGTTATCAATATCGCCTTATTAGTAGGAACTAAGTCATACAGTGGCAAAGCTTATCTGAAAAATCATTTTCTCTTGAAATGCACGTTGAGATGAAAATTCACAATGCGGTTACTTAATGCGATTTCAATCAATCACAACTGACGTTATTTCTATTTGCATCAAATCCTTAATGGTGAAAACAAGCTTTATCTCGGATAATTATTAAAACTTCACATTCGTATACCTTGGACCATAGCCCTTAAAGCCTTGTGAAATTATTTACAGCCGTTTATAGCCTTAATAAATTCTCTCTTATGGGTACAAAATACAATGTTTGCCATTTCCGGAACACAAGGAGATTTTCCAACGACAAGGGGATAAGGTACGCATAGGCGTTATAGAACCGAACACGATGCGCGCACATTCCATTACTCCGCGCGCGAAATTGAAACCCGCGGCGGCATAGGACCGAAGCAAACAAAACGCATCCGTAGGGCCTTAATCAGGGACTTCAAAGAGGTCGTAATCCGAAAAACACACCTCTCCACGGATCCCTTGATGCATAAAAATCGGTAAAAGTCCGCCGCGCACCTTATCTACGCGTCAAGGTGTAGCACAAGCGTGTACAGGCGGATGCCCCGAGAATTAAGGGAAAATGTACGCGTTCACAAACTCCACGATGTCGAGAAAGTCTCCGTCAACAAACAAAGCGAGTGGGAAAAGGGAAAAAGGCGCATAGAAAAAAAAAACACGCCGAGAGTTCCACATTCTTAATTTAACTTGAGTCACTCTTACATCCCCACTTGAATGTGGACCGACGACGTGGGAGCCGCCACCAATCCCCGGGCTGGGCAGCTTAATACCACCGCAAGTGCGGCCGAGGACGGCTTGGGGGCTCATATTAAATTGGACGCGTGTCGAGGGGCGCGAGCGAAAAGTCCCCATTTCTTCGGGCGGTACAGTTGCGTCTTATACGTATGATACTTAGATGATTTCGGTTGGGGTTTACCTTGACACTCCGTTTGCGGCGATATTACACCGAGACCTGAGCAGTTGGCCCGTTTTATGTTTGCCCTGTTTCGTCAAACGTCAAATTGAATTAAATTTGTTATTGCCTTGGAAAATTCGCTGGAGTTATATTTGATAATTTCTAACATTAGCTTGTTATTTCGTTATTAAGGACAAATAATATGCTCCAACTGAAGTTAACTCTAAATAGATCATTATATTTCTATGTCTAATTATCTAATTAAATAATATTATTGTATAAAAAAGTTCACATTTTTTAATTTTGTTTGTTTGTTTTTACTGTTCACTGTATAATTGAAAGTGATTAATTAAGTAAAATTAAAATAAAACATACATTTGAGTGAAAGCCAATGCTACCCAAAAATAAATTCATATTCATAGAACCCTACTAAATGTTTTAAAAGCCACGATCAATAAACGGCCTTTTATAATCAACCCTTATCAAACGTCACATAAAACTTAAAAATGTCCCCCTGGCTTAGCGTTCACACAGACACACATGCACACGCACGCACAATGTTCATTATGAGGGTAACTAATCACTGAGCTATGGAGGAGAAACGGAATTTTTTTATTCATTAACCGCCCTCTCCTTAGGAGGCTGTCTCCAAATAACAAAAAAAACTGTCGTGCTTGTTAGAACTTAATTTATTTGTTATCAATGAACAAATCCGTTTATTGTAAAAATATTAAAAATAATAATATAATATTTAGATAAAAGACTTTTCCTTCTTGGGTCCCTGCCCCATTGATATAATTGGATTATGAAGACAATAACAAAATATTCCAATATTATATTATATGCAGAATCTGATTTAGTCAAATTCATTGAAGTTTTCGCTGAGACAACTTTAATCAATAAAAATAAAATATTCCTGCATCAATTTTTTTGTTAATTTGCACAGTCTTAGCATTGTAATTTATTAAAACCAAAAGCGGCTACGTCATATTATTATATATGTAAACACATAAGATGACTGGCTAAAAAGTAATTCTCCTATTTCTCTTGACATTTAAGAGCTGAGGACCGAAAATATTACCTTTTTAAAATTAAAGTTTCACATCTTTTCGAAACCTGTGCTCTTGCCCTTATTATTCACAGTTTATTTTAGAACGAATGTCTACTCAAAAGACGTTGTATTCCAATCTACGCACACGACGCACACTCGCTACCGACGACGGCGCAAAGCGTGAATTTGCATATTTGCGAGCTCACTAAGTGCAATAGCTTGTCTCTACGCACTCACCAGCATTCTTCCTATTTACCCTACTTTTAGCTTAATTTATGAATCGTCAATTAATGCCGTTTTTGTGCTTAAGCGTTCATGTTGAGTGGAAAACGTTACGTGCGTTCGACGGCTCCGAGAAAGTGTTATTAGGCTGCGTGGGAATTGAATTTCTACAATGGCACGCCAGTTAGTTAACGAAAGGACCTATTTATTACTATAACACCTTGTCTAAATAATAGGAGGCTTTTGTATAGCCTTGCCTTCAGCAAATAACTTGATTTGGTTTCAATGATTACTTCATTAAGCAAATATGAATTTAAATGAAATTTACGATTTGAAAATATGTATCAGACCTAAATAATCTTTTCTATTTTAGCCCAAATGTATTTAACACATTTTATTAAAGTTTATAGATGTACTTTTGGAAAAAAAATTGGGAAGATTACTTATCTAAAACTAAAACAATCTTTCATTAATTTAACAGGCAGAGGAGTAGCTCTCGCGCACTCCGTAATACAAATACGAGGATATTACGTGCTAAAAGTACATTCAAAATATTCTAAAACACTTAGTACCATATACTTACCTTCGTCTTTGTCGAAAGATAACCAGGGAAAGCGGAACTTTTTACTCGCACCTCATATTAAAAATAACTCCATCTCTCACCGTCGGACATATTGAGTGTCACAGCGGAGCCTTCAAACAAACGCTTTCTTAAGCAAAGCAGTGCCTAATTTCAATATCCGAACGGAGAGCGGACGTTCGGAAACTCTCCTCGGGCGAATAAATTACGGCGTCTATTCAATATTTCAGCGGGGCGAGAGGCCGACTCTGAATATTCAAAACTAGAGGAGACACGTAAAGGCACGCGCAAGCCATTTTTCGCGCCTATCATCTCGGTAACAAAACGCACTCGTAATTACCCCCCTCCCCCGCTCACCCCTCAGCGGGACCCCACCTATCCCCCATTGCTTCTGCGGGGTGGGGAGAGCCGCCCAGTGACAATTATTGATCAAAAATTCTCTCTCTTCTTTCGCAAAAGAAAACTTGGACGGGTTATGTGTCGACCGCGCCATCTTGATCATGATAATTAGATAATTTTATTCATTCATTAATTTGATTCCTCTCCCTTTGTCATCCACAAGACATATACCCTAGCTAAGTTTAATTTAATATACCGGCGATCGTTTGAGACTTTCATATCAATTTTAAAGGATTCTCAATTAAATTAAAAAATTGAATTTGAAAATACCAACAATTAACTCTTTGAAAACTTGTACCTTGACTGTGGCGGTGCTCTTTTCAATAAAATAACACTTTTGAACACCTTGAAAATTAAGTTGTTCTTAGAACCTAAATTTGCTTGCAATATATGCCGTATGAGCCCAACAACGTAAAAATGAATTAACTTCTGACTTTATATTGTGTCAAGTGATTATGAGTTTTGGTATAGTCCAGCTAATAAAGCATTTGCGTGTATGAACTGTGAGGAAGTAGTATTGAAAAATATTGAAGAGTTGGAAAATTTCATTAAAACCAATTCTAAAGTTTTTTCATTCAATTCATCTAACGTTCAGGATATTTTTAAAATTCAATGATTAACTTCTTTAATGCTTATTTCATCTTTATCATTTCTTGAGCAATCTATCCACGTGTTTGGATTGCCCCTTGCTAGAAAGATACTGGTCTCGTATAATTTAATTTTGTATATATGAGTAGGTAAAAATCAGATAAAACTATTACTCTCCGTTGTTTCTTACAATTAATGTGTTAAGAAACACTTGAACTGTGTTCATATTATCTGATGAGGTAACCTAAATTTAGATTATGTTCCACATTCTTAGATATGATGCGGTATTATTGCGTTAAACAAAAGAAATGAACCCTTTCATCACCTTGCATCGCGAATCTATCTACGTATAAAATCCGAATGATTGTGATAACTGTGCGATGAATGATGAATGCAATTGACAGTGCAATTCTTGTGGGTGAATTTAAGGCCGATAACGTCTGAATAGGAATCGCTATCTTTGGCTATTTCTACATTTGAAAAGAGAACAATATCAAAAATATCTGTACATATTATTATTATTTCTCAAAGGTGTTTTTTTTTTGTCGAAACGCTATAGCTATTTATTATCCACAGTTATTTATCAAATTTAATGATTAAAACACAATTTTAATACCTATGTTTCCATAAATTTAACATTGGCGTTAAAAAAAACTCTCGTTTAAAAATATTCACCTATAAATGATGTATCATAATTCCATCTATTGACACTTTTAAAATAAATAATAACGTAGAAGTATACTGTTATATATACTTATTCGTTATCATTTATTTTAAAAGCTTACCTTTAAATTAATACCTTTAAATGTTATGTACTTATTTACACATTACACGTAACTGTGGGCCACGCAACAGTTTTCGCTATTGCACGAATGGGTAGGCTAAGTACCACGACCTCACCGAAGATCAGCGTGAAGTTGAAGTGTTGCACTTCTGCGTTCCTCCCGGTGAATAGCCGGGGCCCACTTTATTAAAAGGTTGCAACGCATCTGCAAGGTGTTGCAAATGTCCATGGGCGGCGGTTGCGACTTAACATCAGGTGAACCGCCACCTTCTAACGTAGAAAAACCACACTATTACGTTACCTTTAGATGACCGACCGCGATGCTGTGCAAAAATTTCACACGGGTCGACTAGTTTTATTAAATTGCCAAGAGCGCTGGGGCAGCGTACACGCGGCCGCCTCGGCATATTAATTGCACGCGGCGCTACCGCGGGAGGCAAGACGTGGGGAGGCGCAGCCGCGAGGTCAACCGTCGGCGCGCCATTGTTTTGTGCGTGCCACGCTCCGTATATACAGTGTCCTATGTATTAATGATTGTAATAATGTATTTTCGGACGGGCGGTACGAGCAGGCTGCGTTCGAATTCGCACTGTCCCGAAGCCCCCTTTTGTCTCTCGCCTCGTTAAAGAAATGGCGGATTGACATTTCGCAAATTAACAGCAACGAGCCTCCCCGCCAGCTAGCGATTTTGTACTCTCCGATAGCAATTTGGGGTAATTGGTTACGGCAGTACATGCAGTTAGTATGTGTTATGGGACGAGAGCGGGATGCTACATCAAACACTTCGCAAAAAATCAATTTAGTAAAGTAAAGTAACAGCCTATACATGTCCCACTGCTGGGCAAAGGCCTCCTCTATACAGAGGGTATCAGGGCATAGTCCACCACGCGGCCCCACTGCAGATTGGCGGACTTCACATATTTTCGAAATATATATATTTTTTTGTTATTATTTCGAAAGTATGCAGGATTCCTCACGATGTTTTCCTTCACCGCTGAGCACGTGATAAGTCAGCACTTAAAGTTAAAAACTTCATTGGTGCCGGCACCGGGGATCGAACTCAGGTTGCTCGAGTATATTGAATTAAAGGCGAGCGCCCGGACACTGAGCTATCACAGCTTTCTAAAAAGGCTTTTAAAAATCAATTAACTCTGCTTTTTATCAATCTAATTCCGTGTTATATTTAAAGTCTATGGTATGAACCAAAATATAAACTTTGCAACTGCAAATTTTCAGTTGTTCCGAATTAAAAGTTAGTTTAGTGAACCGGAACTATTTTGATGTTCGATAAAAAACTTAAAATAATAGGCTAATTGAATAAAGAAATTTTGACTTTGACTTTGAATTAAAGAATAATAATGATCGATTTAATTTTTATTGTATTAAAATAAAACAATGTTAAAATACTACAAGTATAATGTAGAACGTCTTTAATGTATAAATTTAATTGCTATTTAAAAAAAAATAAAACAAAGAAATCACTTCATGCAATGGTTATTTTGGATTATAAAGAAATAATTTACTTGAAAAGACTTATAACAAATTAACTCAGGCTTTTCTAGTTCATAATCCTGACCACCAGCATTGATCGATATCTATTTCCTTAATTAAACTCTTTAAATACATCAACTATTTAAATACATGTATGTAACTATTCTTATATAGGTACATTTTTATTATCTTACCATCTAAAAGACACTGAATATTTATTTGCGAGGCCATGCTGATATCAGTGTCTCCGTCATCACCTGTCTTTTTATCAGCGAATTCGTGACGTCCGGTCTTCGACCCGTCCATTTAGAATATTTATTGAAAAACGCGCATTTAAAGAACGACTGAAAGGTTCACATTAACAATATTTTTTTAAGTTTTATACAGTTACCTAAAGGAATAATTATAGTACAATGTTATTTCTTCATATTCTTACATGATTATCATTTGCTAATATAATCCTGATTATTGTGGGTATATCACAAACCCTACGCAGGTAAACCTGCGTTATATAACATTAACTTGGATATATTCACTGAAATGTTTTCACTAAAAACACATAATATATAAATATATATGTAAAAATTATAGTTTCTATGACAAATTCCAATTCTCTACAGAAATTGAACAAGGAACATTTTGTATTCGTTTTTAGATAAATTTTATGTTGTGGCATTAGGAAACTAAAATTTTTAAATAAAGTTAAACGCAAAATAATCCATGAAATATTTCTGTTTTAAATATAATTTTTATTTACTAGTTAGTAATGTTTCTATTCGTCACCATCTACGACTTTTTATTTTTACTGCAACTAAATTCAGTAAAAGAGACAATATATACCGTTAAAGGAATCAATTTTTGAAATTTGTACAAAATATTTATTGGTACAAATTCTTGACATGTAATTTTCTCTGGTATGTTCAGTAATGAAGTAACATGATGATCAAAACTTAAGATCATGATAATGATACGTTTCTTTTGCTTTACTGAAACGCGCTTTTGTCTATCCCGTGTTATAGAATGTTGTCAGCGCTAACGGTTGTCGATTTTTTCGATAATATCGTAATCAATTTACCTCTATTAACGGCATATTTGACGTGATTACGTTTTACCGCTCCAAATGTTTCCTTCTGTAACTAAACATTTACCAGTTTAAGATAGTGCTCATTTTCGTAAACTAAAACAAACATTAAACATATTTATCTATAGAGGTTGGCTAACCTAGCTTTGTTTTTTTCAAAACATATGTGAGATGACAATAGGACAAAATTTTTCACAAAGATAGCTTTGTGAAAAATGTTGTCTTAACTGTAGTCTGAACTTGGAAAATGAAGAAATTCTAATATTTACAAAACATTGCCTTTTCTAATATCCTGTGTTGTAAGGACGTTTTAAAAAACAATTAAACACCTTGGCAACTGCACCACGGAGACATCCTATAAACAATACACTACGTGAAATGTTACAATAAATCAATTTCCAAAAGAATGCACCATATAAGAGTGACCTACGATACTATTAACTTTCGTAACACTTAAAGAACAAGCAAAGCCAAGCTACCCAAAAACACCTTATATTGTTGTCAGGGGTCATAAAGGCACCGGGGATCGAACTCAGGTTGCTCGAGTAAATTGAATTAAAGGCGAGCGCCCGGACACTGAGCTATCACGGCTCTAAACGACTCTCTAAACGAATGTATATCATTGATTTTTCCACAATTTTGATAACGCAAGATCTTGCACAATCTCTTAGCTACCTTTTGGATGATATATTGATACAATTGGAAATACATTTTAGTCTCTGAATCTCTTTTTGTGTTGTCAACAAAATGAAATTTTTAATGTTGTCAACTTCCTACCGGCGAATTTTATTAGCCACTTTTAGTCCGAATTTGTTTACATGATGTTTTCTTATGTAAATTATTTTAAAACATTTACCATTAAATTGTCGAAAATTAACAATATGAATATTATAATAATCAATGTTACGCAATAATTAAACTAGCACATCTCTATTGACGTAATTTAGAGTCAACTGCTTAAGAACTTATTGATCATACACATTGTCCAAATCTTTTAACTAATATTGGGTTGGTATTTTCCTATTAGAATCTTGTAGTGTTATTGTTTCCATAAGTTAGCTGATCGTACAGACACCAACTACAAATAATAGTATCGTAGGTCTTATTCGTTTTACTCAAAGCTAAAATTAATAATGTATCCCTTAAAACCATGTGCACTATAAAATAATTTGCTTTTTTTCAAAATCAGTTTAATACACTAATTCATGCGGAATTCGTTAAAGATTTATGCTAACTCCGAAAGAAGTTTTTAATTTTTTAACGCGTGGTGTGCATAGCCATAATGAAGTGCCTCGCCTGGCCTTTGAGAGATTACAAATTTACATAGTTCTTCGTACCCAGTTAATGAAGAAGGCGGATAGACAAAACAAAAGTGTAGTTTTGAGCGATTCCGGTTTTCATATTTTAAAATCGAGTAAAAATAAAATAAAGAAACAAATAGTGAAATGATTATGTATGACTATAGTAAGCAAAGCATTTTTAAAGAAAGACCTAACACAAAAATGTTACGAATCCTAGATACGTATATAAAAGCGACCGCCGCGAAATGCATCCAGTGCATAAAGCGACACGGAAAACCGATCGCGTACCGGTTTCCTTCGATTTTCCGCGCCTCTGTCCATTATTGTGTTTGTGAGCGAACCATGTATGTAAATCATTCTTTCCCGCCGCACACGGGCGCCCTCTGTCTCTTTCCCGCGAAACGGCGCGTCACTAGTCGGAATGGGACGAGACCGCCAAATCCGCGGCGTTAATTTACGTACAGTTGGCAATTATAATTTTCGTATTCTGCCCGCGGTGCGTCCTTGTCTGTCGCGGGCGTTTCCGCGACCATCCCACTCGCACCGGGGAGACGGGGGGCTAAGATAAAGCGCTGAAGACGCGCGAGATATGTAGAAATTTTTAATAAAAACCCCGCCGCCTCTGTGTGCGCTAAGTGATATGACTTGTTCTTTTTAATTTCGTTTTGCATTGCGCGCGTAGTGGGAGCGGGATCATCTATCATGTTTCTCGTTTTTTTTTTTTTTTTTTTTTTTTTTTAAGTTTTGTTTTTATTATCTTCGCGTGCACCGTCCGCATGGGAATATTTCGCATGCGATATGAATATTGATTGTTCCGCTAGCGACTAATGAAGGCTTGATTGGTAGTAGCCGTTGATGTGTAATGAACCCGACGGGGAGTCTGAGGGGACGCGGATGGTGTGTTGTTTTTCCTTTCGCCTCCGATGCGAATATTTTTAAACGGTTGCGGGTTTTGTTCTTCTTGTTGGAGGATACGCGCGGATTAAGGCGTCATTATAATCTGTCGGGGCCGCCGGCTATTTGCAAGTTGTCATTTGCTGAAGGGTGTTGTGATGAATCATTAATAAGTTTTGTATCATTATTAAATATCTACCCCATCGGGATCATATGCAAAATGGGTAATTGAAGGTCGTTACGTTATCTTAATTCCTTTTTTTCTATTTTGCTTATCACAACGGAATATCACTACATAGTATAAAACAAAGTCATCCCACTGTCTGTCTGTCCCTATGTATGCTTAGATCTTTAAAACTACGCAACGGATCTTGATGCGGTTTTTTTTAATTGATAGAGTGATTCCAGAGAAAGGTTTATATGTATTATAAATGGCACTCGTGCGAAGCCGGGGCGTGTCGCTAGAGTGTATATACTGTTGTTAGTGTTAACACAAGTATATTTGTTGAGAAAATATTCGTTCTAAATATTCCGTAGTGGATGCGCTTATGCTACATGGGCCTACGTACAAATTAATAGACAATTACTTAAAGAGTTCAATGCGTTGGTATGTGCTACGATGGTTGTAGCTACGGCTTATCATTTGAAGTAAATTTGAGATGTGATGACGTTGTTTTCTTTTTAATTTCTTGCAAATTAAAAACAGCAATAAATCTGCATCATTCTTTTCTCTTCATCTATCTTTACGCATTCATTTCTAAAACTATTAAATTGATAAATCAGTGTAATTTCATACATTATTGCCTTCACGTACTAATCGGTTTAGGAATAAGCTTAAACTTAAGAGCATCAAGAGTTGTGATGTGGTTGTTAGCCACAGGAGTCACTGTCGTATAAAGAATGAAATATTCAGGACGATCGTAGCCATGACTGTGCGATTCATCCACACCCTTGCGGCAGTCGGGCGTGAACGGAACGATCTGGAATTGGAAATGCTCGAAGACACACCATACTGCTTCAATTACCACTTAACACTTGTCACAACATCGACCTTATCTAGCTGGCTTAAGATCTATATCTTCGCTGCTCAATAGTCTGTTACCAAGCGGTCCACGGTAAATTGGAATCTGTTTCGAGTCACTAAGGCCTATATTTAAAATAACGACGGGCAAGGTGTGAAGAATGGTCAGTGTATTTAAAGCTAGAACGTTCTGGTCTGAGTAGCGCGGGACGAATCGCCTTCCGGCCTCCGACGTGATTTCTTAAAGAAAGCCGAATCAATGGAACGCAATGGACATTGGCCCCCGGTTGTATGGTAAATGGCCATAGTAGCAGCGTTTTAATAGGCATTAGTCACTATAATAAAAGTTATAGAATGAGATATGAAAAATTAAGAGAACAACCAATATCTCCATCAGTTATTAAACATAATAACTATTTATTTTTTGAAACGATAATTAGCAGTGGATTAATTCGAGAATGTTACAGATATAGCCTCCTTTTTCCCTGTGTTCTTTATACGTTAAAATAAAATAACTTAAATCTGATTAAAAAATTAACATGACAATCAATCCACTTACTTTTAAAGGTCGTTTATTTTTTCAAGTGTATAATCAAATAGTAAAACGCTTATTTCGTAGCCCTTAGCATAACCCTAGTTAGTATACTGTGAGAGCGTTAGTGAATTGAAGTTTTTTACAGCGTCGTGGATAGAAATCGATTGATAAAGTTTAGGCTATAGTTGTCTCATAATTTTTGTTATGGATTTAGAAGGCTCGAATGGTGGGAACTTTTAATAATGCTGTCATCTGGATGGTATACTTTGATACTATACTACAGTGATAATGAGACACTTGAAATTTTTACAGATGATGTATTTCTGTTGCCACTATGACAACAAATACTAAAAACCGCGTGATTTTTTTGCAGTTTTTATAGATATATAGATAATGGTACGGAACCCTTCGTGCGCGAGTCTGACTCGCACTTGGCCGGTTTTATTTTAATTAATCAATTAATTATCTGGACTTGTGGACTGTACAAAAATTTCAAACTGAATTCTGCATGAAAAAAATCATGAAATATAAAATTCGTTGGTACACGCTATACGAATTTAAATTTATGTCCTAACTAGCCGATACCCATGACTTTTTCGGCGTTGCTTATTATATTGCGTTGCCACAAGAATAGAAACACATCACGTAATGCTTATAAAAATCATTGCAATTTTACATTAAATTAAAATATGAAAATATTCCTTTTAAAGCGCCAAGTTTCTAAGAAATAAATCTAGACGAATTAATTCAGATCTGTCCAGTTGTTTTCCTTGATATGCGCACAACGACGTAACTCACATTTTATTTTTATAGAAGATTTGGATGTCTGTTTATAATGTAGTATATAGTAGTATATAGTTTGATGACTCCGTGGCGCAGTCGCCAAGGTATTGGCTTCGGCGTCGAGGGTCGTGGGTTCGATTCCCACACGGGACAACTATTTGTGTGACCCACAGATAGTTGTTTTGCATATGAGTGTTTGTCCACGTGAAATTTATGTATGTAAATCGTCCTTGCAACACAGGATAGTGTTATCCTAAAGTAAGGGCAAAGTTTTTCTCAAAAATAGAAAAATAGAAATAGAAATGACATTTATACTTTCATTCGTAATACTACCAATAAAATTGAAGAAAATAGATCGATTAATCATTCCGACAAGGCTTTTGTTTCAAGATCTAAATAGCGCTGAGCGCCCCCATGTCCCATGAGGTGCATTCAACCCTGTGAATAGACATTCGATGGCAAATTCTCCGTATTAACTACTTATTTACGGGGTAGTTTACACTTAACCAGTATAAGAGTGTTCATTATATACATATATAAAGTATTAATGCATAAATAAAGCGAGTAGTAATATAAATATTACTACTAATTGGTTTCATAAGCTGGCTGTTGTATATAATACATCGTGAATTATTTACCTAGGTGATATATTTATTGTAGTTCCTTAGATCCCCACCAGATGTAGTGACTGTTTAAATATGCGGGAAGTCGATGGATGCATATGGCTCAGGATCATGCCTAGTTGCAGTCTGTAGCTTATGTTCAGCAGCATTGATTACAATACACGAGGCCGTATAAAAGTTTCCAAATTAAAGTTATGTTTATCACCAAACTTGTACAGACTAGGATATTAGCTATTATCATATTACGGATAGCATATCTAGTATGTAATACATAAATATTTACGAAGTTACTTTCATCATAATCAACTTTTTATACTGGCTTTAAAAGAAAAAACGATTGTTTTTTTTTTACAACAGTCGAAGCTCAAGGCGTTATCTTATAAGTTGCCGTTGATAAATCTATTATAAAACTGTAGCCATTTAAAAGTGCAAAGTGCCAGTGACCCAGAGAGTTCTTTTTAATTTCACTAGTGGGGTCACGGGCACGCGGCCGAGGGGAGACAGTTTTATGATCAGCTGTTCTCTCTCAATGCCGCCATTATTGTAGTACTTTTGCTTAAAATAGGATATTTTAGTTTGAAATATAAACGCAAACCTTTCCGAAAAGGTCTCTTGAGAATTATATTATTATTCTTTTTAATTATCTTAAATTTCATGCGCCCTTTATGTGACTCTTGCAATTTTAATTGTAATTCAAATAAGTGTTGAAGTAAGGAGTCTACCTAACAAAAAGACGAATCAAAAACTAGTGTTATATATTCATTAATCGTCATTATAATTTAATTCAGTCTCTATTTCTCAGACAAAAAATATTTGTGTGTCATACATTACTTAACTTACCAATGATGTGATTATATTTAAGGCATCATTTGGGGAATCAAAGTGCACTGTTTGGCGCGAGAAGTAGCAATAAAGTCCGTAGCGGGCAGAGGGCAGCCCCTCCCCCAAGTGGCGGTCATCTCCCCTTTTTTATCTCCGCAAGTCAAGGGCGCGTGGGGCAGGTTCGGCCGGCCGCCGGCTATTGACATTCCGTTTTCAAATTTACCTACTTCCCGCATTGTCCGTAACTTTTTAATGTTTTTCAGGGTCGACGAACCGAGTGGCCAGTGAGCCCTTAAGTAATCCGCCTGTTATTATCATAAAAACTTTTTAAGTCCGATAAATATAAAAAAGGGGCTTCCCGTCGGGAATAAAATGCAAAAGGTATGAGCAACGAAATACGAAATAATTTTCTTCAATTCAAATAAATCAAATAACTGTTTTAAGAATTATACCGTACGAAATGAAAATTATTTTTTTTTTTTACATTTGTGAATGTTGAGAATAGTGTAAAAAATATTTATCATTAAAATTTCTCGTTGAGAAATAACTCAGAAGGTAAAAGTGGAAGCCGCATTCAATTGAGAAGAAGAACAGACCATAACATCAAAGTGAAACTTAAAAAAGCACTTCTAAAATCACTAAAAACTGCCCCATGAGATGTGCTATGTTGCTTAGTGTTAAAAAGACCCGTAACATGTCGATGTCCGTGGCTCTGTCCGCCCCAGATGGGCGCGATAGCCCGGGTCTTTACACAACTTAATACTATCAATATAATTATTAACATCTGTTGCGGACGGTTTTCGAAACCTGACAAACTGAGAATATTGTCGATATTTTTATTTTATTAATTTTTTTTAAAATGCATATTACTTTAAAAACCATTTCAAAATGTAAATTTAACCTTTTACGTATGACGATATTCAGCATCCTGATGTCACCTACAAATAGATAAGCGCTAAACACTAATTTTATATTGAGTTATCACATGTACATAATAATAATATAAATGTATTGTATAAAGTATAGCAATTTTAATAAAAGGGTTCCAAAATTAAACTTTAGTTCAAGAGGAAAAACTTCAGATACAAGATTTCAGACTAATAATTGAGTAATAGCATTTATTTTACATAATATAAAATTCCGAGCATACTTTAGATTTTTTACCTAAATAACATAAGTGATAAATCTATCAGCGGCTAAATCACATAGACCATATTTAAAAAAATTTACACAATAAGTTTCCTTTATTCACAATTTCACCGCAACACTGATATGTATCCGAGTGAGCACAAAAACTCCGAAAAGTTTGAGTGGCAGGACCGCCATCGAAAAATCGATATCGATAGTCGATGCGATAACAACAAAGCACCCGCCGGCCCATCTCTATTGACAAGACGGCTAGAGCGTGTGCTACGTGTGAATGTTATCGATAGTATCGAGATATGTCTATGTCGATAAGTCGGCCATTACGTGCAAGTAGAAATAGCTTGGGAATCAAAATGAGCTTGATGTAATCGAATGATTCGCTTTTTTTTAATATGTCAGAGCACTAGCACACGACTCGATTGGATACAAAGGCTATCACCGTTAGTGTTGTTCACATGTCACCGATATTCACGATTTATTCGAGGATAATTCTCGAATATTCACTAGTACAGATCATGTAGTAAATGGGAATCATGTAATAGTAGTAGTGTAGGAACCATATAATAACTACTGGAACTAAAAGTGTATTCTTATAATCTTGTATTGACAAAATTAATAAACCTCTGGAATATATGACAATAACAATAAAGCTATCATTCTACTTTCCAAACAATAACCTAAATCAGTTCGTTTTTAACTTGATCATTTAGATAAATTGATACGTCACGGACTGATACAATCTGATCAAGATTCATCACAATCGAAGTGTAGGTTATTTTTTGCACTGTCTCTAATTTAAGCTTAATCGATCAAATGTGCATAATCTTAATTGAATGCTCAAAGGTACTAAAATGTGCGTTTCTCAATCAAAACAATAAGTTGTCGAAATGACAGATAAAGGTTCATCGACCTCGCGTTTGGCGGGAGAGCGGCGCGTGCTACGAAGCCCATTGTGCGAGTCACGTCAAAAGCGGACGGTCAAAAATAACGAGATAAACTCTATCACGGAGATATATCGCGGGGATTACTTAACAAATTTTAAGGACAATTGCTTCGCTGTTAAATCGAAGCGGGCGGACGGTGCTTGATATCTAATAATGATGATTTATTTCTGTTGGCTTTCATAAAAACACTATGTCATTGTTTGTGAGGCTTCTTCATTTTTTGTAACTACCCGAAAACTACTCGAATTGGTTGGCTAGTTCGTAATCCGACCGACGATTAGTAAGTTAAGTGAAAAAAAAAATCGAATATAAAAATAAACCGATTTTTGGAATAGGGGATATTATCAGATCAATCTCTTAATATTATCCAATTAAATTATTAAAACAAATCATACTACTTTTACCAAAACACATTTATTGAATTTACCAATGCGAAGTTTACACCAGTTTAAGTTTGGTCCTATCCGAAACGCGGACTCGCAAAGTAAATTTAGAAATTACATAAATGTGATTTACACGTTAACACAGAGGTGTCATGTCACGTACTTCATTTGAAAAAAATTAACAAGCCTCAATTAAAGCTTCAAGAATGCGTTATAGACAACAAATATCATACATATATTCAATACAACTAATAGGCATAATAAAAAGGAAAAAAAATGTATCATGCCAAAAGTTTTACTTTAAGATTAGATTTGACTTAAAAGCGTAGTAATGCGAGTTTTTTGATTCACTTTTTTTGTTTTTATTTCCACTATTTAATGGTGATAAATTACAACACTCAAAAACAAAAATGCTAATAAAATACATCAATCTTCTTTTTGTACTTTTTGTAGTGTAATTATCGAAAACAACCACCTTGTGCACGAAACCATCGAGGCATTGATATCTAAAAGAGAAAAAAGTTCATAAAAAAGTTAAAAATGTAGACTACTGATAAGTAAACGCACACACAAAATACTAGAACAACGGCCACAGGCACGTTCTAACTGAACTGAATTTGAATTAATAAGAAGAGTTGTAAGGTATCGAGATAAAACAAGAAGTATCGATTGCACTTCTATTAACGATCAGACTGAAAACGACCTGTGGGCGTGTGTAGCTGAAGGAAAAAACATATCACTCCCACTATGCACCGGTTACAGAGCAAAAAATTTGATACACCTCCGCTTGGTATGATCCTGAACTCTATTCCGTCGTGTTAAGAGTTAGACTGGGCGCAGTGGCGTCGTGTCAAATCTCTACGAGGCGCACCACGCCTCGACACTCGTCATTGGCAGAAATAAAAACGGCGACCACGCGTAACTCGTCACGTCTCGCCGGACAGTGAAATCGTGCGACCGGTGACAATGTGTCAGACCGCCAGTTGCACTAGACCCACCCTGCCCCGCCACCACCTTAGGATGTCGGTCGCGTGGGACCGGCCGGAACGGCGGACGCGGCTCTACCACCGCTGGGCGCCGCTTACACTGTTGTGCATTCGTGCCGTTGCGTCGCCGTGGCTTATGAAATGACAGTTGAAGCTTCAATGAGCAGGCGTTTACCCGCAAGAGGGAATTTCATCGATCGCGCTCACAAATTGCAACGCAACTGCGAGATGTAAATCGCTCGGCCACCGTTATATTGAAAATCGATTCCAGCTAATCGATTCGTCGCAGCTGCGTTCCGCTTACGCAGCTGCCGGTCCCACGGTCGATGTGCTACACCGGTGATGGAACACAGCACCGCGCGACATCGCACGACATCGCGCGACACCGCGTTCCTGTGCTCTGTACCGACTCTGTCGCAAATTAATCGGCCGTGTAATCGAGAGATTATCCATACTGTTTCAGCAAAACAATGATTCACGACGCCCCAAGATTGCATCGAACCATTTGTTTCACGGCTTATAAACGGACAGAATGCTTAGCAAGTTTCATGAAAGAATTGAACAAAATGGCTTTGACATTCAGTCTGTTCACAAAAAAGTGTGTGTGTATTTCTTTACGCACGTAAGAAGTTATACTTCTTTAACATAATAAAACAAAAATAACTAAACATTTTACACCCTGTGCCAGTACTCTTTGTTTCTGCAAAATACATTGAATGCAATTGGTAACGGTTGTAACTTGGAATTATAAGTAAATGTCAAACATTGTTATTGGTTGCCATGGCGACCCCCAAAGAGCGACATGATAAAGTTGTTGCTTTGCAACCGACTTCATCATCTCTCATCCTCGGTATGCGCGCGCAGCGTAAACATTTAACTCTCATAATTTTTTCCTAACGCGTCAAAATAAGTATTACTTCAATAACTCGTTTTAAGCTCCCGCTCGGGCAGTACTGTTCGATTGGGAAGCAATTTAACGCTGTTAGATCGGTCTGCCACCTGCATGCCATTAGTTCTTGTTTTCTGATTTTCAGTGTAACCATTCTGAATTTGACATACGCACTGAAGTATGAAATTAAACATTAGTGGGCCTAAAATGTTGTTATTATATATTAAAATATTTCACAAAATCTAAATGTCACTGCATATTAGTCATTATTACTTCGTAATCATTGTTTTGCTAATGTTTCTCTATCGATTAGAAGTATTTTTACCCAAAACGCGCGTGCCCCTATCGTAAACAATTACCCAAAATTTTAATCATTAGCACTGCATCTGCAAACCTTCAGCAGTTGCAGATGTACATGGATGGTGGTAATCACTTAACATTAGGTGAACCACCTGCTCGCTTGCAAACTAATCGCATAAAAAAATAGTGTATCAATATATTAATTTAAATTATTTAAATTCAAAAAAAAATCTACGAAGATGGGTTTCAACTCATGAATTTCAATTTATTAATAAGTATTTTCTTTTTATTTGTGTATTTAAATGTCAGTCGCTGTCAATCTTTTTGATATCACAACCAATTATTATTCATTAATATATCAGGTCAATCAATAGTTCATTACATTTTTGCTTATTATAAACTTAATTTTGAAAAGACATGTTTAGTAATAATAAGTGTTTCTTTCTCAATTATATTATATTCGCCTTATTTGTTTCAAAGGTGGATGTAACAGCCATGACAAAGCACTTTTTGTAGCCTGATCAAATATTTTAGATCAAAGGTAGCATGACGTTCTAAACAACTATTCTTACAATCATCTCAACGTTG